TAGTAGCCCTACCTTCAAGCATCTCTTATCTTCTTCTCTCAGAACATTCCCTCTCTCCTGCCTTCCAGCACCCAGCTGCTCCCCTGCCTTCAGTATCACACCCTTAAGAGTTCATCTTTCTCCAGGATTGGCTCTCTTATCCACTTGTATGAGATCAAAGCCTTGTTCCAAGTTTTAGAGGACATGGGAATTTCCTCTTTCATACCCTTATTACTGTTTGCTGAAATTGTTTCACATCTGCCTTCCTCGTCAGTCAATAAGCCCATGTAGAATTTGTCAAAATGATATTCCAAGAGTCCAGCATGGTTTCTGAACGTAGTAGGTTAGAAATCCGAATTGCATGAATAAATGCGGAAATATGCCAAGCACCCCTGTGTTCTAATAGTGTCTAGATGTATGCAGAACCCTGTCTCAAAGAAAGGCATGCATTCTTCTCTCCAGTCGGTTAGCATAGGAAAAAGAATGTGGGAGAAGGGATGGCTGGAGCAAGAACATGCAAGGGAGATAATAGGACCAATGGTGGGTGACCCAAGAAGGGCATGTGTAGGGGAGAGGCTTATATTCCTTGGTCTTTGTCATCTTTGCGTAATACTATGAAAGGACTTTATAATAAACAATGGTTTCCCTGCTCAAATGTTCTACAGTTCCACTCCTTTCACTGGACCATAATTTTCAATGTCAGAACTGCCTAGGTATATGTGATAAATATGGACTACTGGACCCCCCCCAGGTCCCATCAGAGTCTATGAAACAGGCTTGAGGATCTACAAGGTAAAGTACTGTTGTGTGGTAGGTTTTGTCCTCATCCAAATTATTTTTACTTTTTGCAATATTTAATAACAATTACTTGGGGAGAATGGAAGGAGTGGGGATGAGAGATGGGTTTACATAATTCCTCCATTTCTTCTCACCAACTCCTCCCACCTCCCATCATGTGAGGGTTTTTCCCTTAAAGATGTATTTATTTTTATTTCATGTGTTTAAGCATGTTGCCTGCATGTGTCTCAGTGTACCATGTGCATGCAGTGCCCAAAGGGCCAGGAGAGGGCATTACATCTCCTAAAATTGGAGTAGAAACACTTGTGAACTGTGGGTTCTGGAAACAGAACCCAGGTCTGTTGGAAGAGCAGCGATATCTCTCCACCTCCACACTAGGTTGTAAACTGCACATCTCTGAGAGAAGGGATGAGGTCTACCATGTTTCTTGTGTATCCTCCAAACCTAACCTAGCTCAGGACTAGGCGTTCATTAAGTAGCTCTTAGTGGGTGAGTGAGTGAGTGGATTCCAAGGCAAAAAAAAAAAATGTTTACAACTTGAAGGCAGAGGGAAAGGGGCATGTATAGCCTCCTTCTGCATTTGGTCATTGTTTTCCTTTCTTGGACAAATGCCCCATTTGTAATAGGGACAATGGGCTTCCCACAAGTTCTTCCTGCCTTCGTCACCCACAGCACCAGAAATCTATGTCTACAGCACCCCAACCTCTGCTTCCTAGCTCCCAGATAGGGGATAGATAATTGAGACAAAAATCAAAGACAATCCAGAGATTTGTTGTCAGTTTTAATAGGAGGGGCAGAGTCAAACAGTTTAGAGAAACGTATAAAAAGACCTTTAACTTCTTGCTGGAACATGTTATGGTTTGTGCATAGCACATACATATTAAAAATAGAAACATCACATTTCACAAGCACATGACTGAACAGCATCTGGATTCCCTCTTCGCTGCCCGCAAGCGTGAGGACGGGTCAGCACCAGGGCCCAGCCTGAGGTCCTTAACAAGAAGACAAAGAGGACTGCATCTGAGGCTGGGGTTTCAGTAGTTCATGAGGTATACAAACATGGCTCCATATTGGCCGTCTGTGCGCTGCCCTAGAGTCGGGATCTGCTTGGGGGTAGCCATTCTTTTCCTACTCCTCCAAGAGGCTCCATCCACTCAGGTGTAAGCACAGCCTGGAATATTTCTGTTGGTGCTAGCCCTGTCCCAACATTTCTATCTTTGGTGCATTTCCAGAGAAGCCACATGGGTTGCTGGTTCACTGTGAAGAGGAAAGGTGGGAGTAACTCGTAGTGAGCCACTGTGAGGAGCTGCCACCTGTCCCATGACAAGTGACTTGGGATTTTTCTTAACGGAAAACATAAGGATAGAAAAATGAAGGAATTTTCTAGCTTAGCTCCATACCAAAAAAGCCCAGAAGGTAATCTCAGCAGAGATGTTATGCTGGAGACTAAGGGCCAGCAACCACATGTGATACCCCAGTAACCACACCGCTGGTGACAAAGGCAGTGAGTGTCATGGACTCTTCAAAGTCCTTCCTTCCTCAGAACCCAGAGTGTGAACCTGGAGAATCTGTGGTCTTAGGGCAGGAAAAGGGCTTGGAGGCCATACGAGAAGAACGCCAAACTTTCACAGGCCAGGCCTGGGGACAGGACTGGATTTCAGGTCTGGGCTGTTGATTTAGAGATAAACTTATATGGCTAAAAAGAAGACAGATAGTATTGATTTAGATGATTAAAAAAAACATTCATCTGAAACCATAGAATGGTTGTGAGCAAGGGCTTGGAACAATGTCTGGGGATCAGTGTGTCTGTCGGAGGAACTCTGGGATGCAGAGTAGAAGTTTGGAAGAGTAACAACAGGGCAATAATTATTAGACTGCTCACTGTCTTCCAATGGAAGGTAAAAAGGTATCAGAAGTAGGAAGCCCAGAGGTGTCAGAAGGCAGTGGGACAATGACATGTTTTGTCTGCATGTCTGTACAGTGCTCTTGGAGCCAAGAGAGACTGAGTGTTGGACATTAGGGAGTTAAAGACGGCTGTGTCCATCTTGTGGGTACTGGGAACTGAACCCAGGTCCTCTGGAAGAGCGTCAAGCACTCTTAACCACTGAGCCATCTCTCCAGCCCTGCCCCCTCGAGTTTCTATAACGTACACTGGTGAGAGGATTACAGACAACAGCTTGAAGGAGGGGCAGGTGACCAGGTAGGAAATAACACCCACCCCTGTGCACAGCAGCGGGAGAGAAGGGGCTGGCGATGCCTCTCTCTGACTGTTTTTCTCTTGTCCCTTAACTGGCCTGTGGATTTGGTTTGACTTGGGCTTCAGGTCAAAGAGAAACCTCTTAAGAGAATTTCTTTAGGTGAGAAAAAGTTGGCATTATCTTCCATGCATTGAACTAATAAAGCAAAATCCTGGGGCCTGCTAGAGACCCCAGCTTAGCACTACTGATGTCAGTCATGGGAAATCCTCGCACCAGTGTTGCTCCTAGGCAGCTGAACACCGGGCCTGCTCCATCCAGGGACTCTGTCGTCCCTCTTTCTCACCACAACCATGAGAGGCAGAGTGGGCACCCTGATGAAACGGCTTGTCAGGGTTTGAGCAGCTTCATGAACCTCAACAAAGAAGCAGGAAAGATTTAGCTGCCCAGCGTCTTGAAATTTTTCTAGAGTATGCTGTTTCAAAGCATGCTGACTTAAAGATCTAGAAAGGAAGACATGAAGGGAGGTAAGGAGAAAGAGAGGCTGGTAGCTGACTGTCTTAAGGCTGAAGACATTCTCTCCTAACCCTGCCACAGACCACAGCTCCAGTCGTCCTGCCCTTATAGTTCCACTAGGAATGAACACACTCAAAATTCCAAGTGACCCCATTTCTGACAAACCCTGTAAAGAGGTTGACGGCACTGGCAAAGATGTCTTAGGAAGGGTGGCTTTCTCCTTCCCAGCTGACTTGTACTCCAACATCCCAGTTAAGTTGGACTGATTTTGCTCCCAGTTACACCTGATCCAAGACTCAATTCTTTCTCGTTTTCATCCAGGGCTTGGGGTTGTCCATGTGGCTTAACTCCTACCACCTGTTAATTTATCTCACCTACCGCCTGTCTTTCCCCGCTCCACCCCGACACTTACAGGGTAAAGGAGGAAGTCAGAATGGTGTCTCTCTTTCACATTGTCACCTCCCCCCCCATTTTCAGCTCGGAATCCCTGAGTCCAGATCTGTCTATACAGGATTGCATCTACGAATAGAGAGGTATGCTGAAGACGGAGGTATTTGCAACAGATGAGGGATTGCCTTGCAGGTCAGGGCTCCCAAGAGTAGTCGAGGGTGTCAGGTCGTTTTGTAACATATGCTGAAAATATGTGTGCACTGATATGGCTCTCTGTGGTATCAGATTTAGGAACATTCCAACAGTTCAGGAATCTGCAGGCTCTAGGCAGACCACATTTAGAGTCTCCCGGGGAACCTCGGTCTAAAATACTTTCAAAGGACAAGAGACACGAAGGCATTGTAGAATGAGGAGCCACTGCAGCTTGGCTGCCTGAATCCTGGGATTATCATGCCTCTCCTACCGTAGTGAGGAAGAGGGGCACACACTGGAGGTCACAGTGCCCATTCTACCGCATCCAGGAGGCATTGTGTACGTAAGATTAGGACAAGCGAGGAGGAAGTGCGAGCTTCGGGTGAGAAGTTGGGCGAGTTTCCTGGACATAGTTGGAGAGGGATCACCATGGCGAGTCCAAAGCCTCTGGACTTCCTTCATGCCCTAATTTGCACACTGCTCTTCCTTGCCAGGGAGGTTGCCATTATTAGGATCCTTGTCATCTGAGGTTAAAATAAGACCTGGTTCAAAGTGAGGAAACATTATGGGCAGGCAGCCTGGGGCTGTTCTTAGAGCCACGCACAGCTCACGGCCCTTCAGGCAGAGTTGCTCTTTACAGAACATCCAGTCCCTCTGTCTCCACAGATCTCCCCAATGGCTACAGACACTGTTCTATCCCTTCCTTCCATGGAGGGAACCCCCTTCTATCCTAGCTTCGTAAACAATGCGTTGTAGTGTTCTCAGAAGCCCAGCGGGCATGGGTTTTAGGGTGGCAGGGTTTTTTTTTTCCTAGTTTGCAATTAGTTTGTACACCCCCACTTCTTCCCTACAAAATAAAAGACAGTTGTTTGCTGTCATTCAGACGACTGGTGTAGTTAATACCTCGGATGAATGGATGGATGGACGGACGGACAGATGGATGATCAGAACAGGACAGAATGAGGCACACCTCGATCCTGCTGGCTTGACAAGTGATGCTCTGACAGGCAGATTCTTACAGTGAAAACGTCAGGAGAAAGGCAATTTGAAATGCCTTTGTTCTGAGACTCTACATGAAGATGTGTGAGTACGCAGGGACACAGGAACACTCCCATCCTGGCCTTTGCTTGTGCATGGGACCACATGTCACAAGTATCATCTGCACTGTCTCTCCTCGGGTGAGGTCAACGTACAGGATCCACTGCCATTCTGAGAAGTCAGCTGCAACCCTTCAGTCACGTGGGTCACATGCCGCGCAGTCCAGTGGTCATGGAAACCAGCTCTGGTCTCTTGAGGCACAAGATAAGCCAGACTGAGAAGTCACAGGGTACCAGCAGGATTGTTCTCTCGTGGAAAATTCCAACAGAAAAGATGCAGCTGTCACTTTGTGAGCCTTCCTGCATGGGTCCTTATATCCTGGGAAGGAAGTGAGTGACAGTCATGATTGGGGACACCTTGCTGCCCCGCTTTACCCGTCCGTATTTGCTCAGTGCGATGTAGGTCCCTCTGTACAGGTCTGACTCGTAGGCGTTGTAGTTGTTTGGGAGGAGGGTTTCACGGAACTTACATTCCTCTTGGAAGCTGGGCTACGAAGGGGAAAAGACAGCAGAGACACGGTGATCATTAAGAAGTGCCAAAACACCAGCTGAGTCCCACAGAGGTGGCCTTTCCTCCGCGTTCCCTCCCTTCCCTTTGTAAAACACTACCACACTGCAAGGAGGGAAGAAACATTAGAGGTTAGAATGGGAGGTGCTTCAGAGCCCTCACGGTTCCTCTCACATGCCCTCCTACACCAGGAGGAAGCCAAGGCCAGGAACAGAGAGAGCTGATACTCAGATCCGGTGGGATAGCAGAACAGATTTCCAGGTGGGGTGCTTTTGCACATCCTCAGGTGAGAATGTGTTCTATCCAGAGAAGGAAATAGGGAGGGAGACACTGAGCTGTCAAGCCTATAGTGAGAGGCTGCCTGGCAGGACAGGATGGAGGCTCAGGGCTCTACATAGTGACTCTTCCGCTTGCCAATAGTGTGAGCTTAGACAGTCTCCTCCACTCAGAGACTCAGTTATCTTTCAGGCAAGCCGTGCGGTGCCAGGGAGCTGGTGGGGCAGTGGGTGGAGGAACAGAAACAAATGAGCTCCTGAGTCCTTTCCAGTACTGTCTCTTGCCACCCAAACTTCTATGCAAAGTCTGCTGTCCCTTAAAGAAAAAAAAGGCTCACTCTCAGTCTTGAGTTGGAGCCCAGAAGGTTGAGTGGAGCTCCATAGTCCACATCATTCCCTGGGGCCAAAGGGGATCTGAGATAACAATCATTTTTCTAGAGAAAGAGAAAGAGAACCTGGTTCCCAGGGGATTTAGACAGAGAGCTATAAAGGTTTCTCTGTATCCCCCTCTGGCTACCATGTGGGCAGAGGCATGTGCACATGTGCACACACATGTACCAGCAACCACAGTTCATTGGCTCTCTGACTTCTGCCTGGCACCAGAGGTGTCCCTGGATTTCTGAAAGAAGTCTGTTGTGGGATGTTTTGATTGCACTCTGACACTCCCAAAACTACTGATAAAGTTTTCCTTGAATCAAAGGATGGAGTTAGCTATTAGCTCTCCAAAATTAGCCATAGAGGTAATTTGGAGGACCTATGACATATAGAGAGACACAGGAAGCAGTAGGGAGGGACTTAGAAAGATTCTCAGCCCTTTTGGATTGAGGAGGGAGAGAGAGAGGAGGTCACTGGTCACTTCTCTGCTTCTTCTCTGATCAATCAGGTTTTTACCCCAATATCTGACTCCCAAGTTTTTATTGATAAAAGAATAATTAGATAAATGTTTTATCTGGCAGTTCTAGTCTTTGAAAACTATTTAAGATAATTAAGAAGTGTGGGTTAGTAGTTAGTCATCTATAACAATCAAATTTACAGTCATGTTAGGTATGTTTTCAAGGTCAATCAGAGATGTATTTTAGATAGATGTTCTTCAAACACTTCAGAGATGTAGAGAATATGACATTTAAGATATTTTAATAACATAAGGCTTTTTATGACAATAAGACACATCTTCTCCTGACAGTACCAATTTACTTCCAAAAAGGATGATGAAAATAAAAAAACCCATATGGAGTTTGCTTTCATTTATGGCATACTTAGCTCCCGAACAAAGGAAGTGTCCTTGCCTCACTTACTGACAGTATGCTGTCCAAATTGGACAAACTGGACACAAAAGAAAGCTGAAGATGGATGCCTGACATTGCAGAGGAACCTTGGGTGACTGTCCAGACTCCCAGCCCCTCTGTTGTTTCTATAGTTTCAGAGGTTGTTTGCTCTGCACTTTCTGTTTTTTTCAGGTAATATTATATCCTTTTTGGGTCTCTAATAGAGTTGAAGACTAGATAGTTGTAGTTTTACAGTTTTGCATGTTACCAAATTAAAAAAAGAAAAATAAGAGGTGTAAAGTATATAAGGTTGTGAAACAAAAAAGCTTAAGCTGTTTTTCTAAAAAATGTTTTGAGGGCTAAAAAAATATTTTAGGAATGTAACACAAGTTAGGATAGGAAGTGAATTAAGTAAAAAACTTTGGACTCACCAAGATGGAATTGAATATTTTCTCTGAATTTGTCAAATGCAAATGGACTGGACATTATGAATGTAATTCTTACCAGGTAAGTGTCCTTATTGCATGTAATTTTACTGTGTTAGAATTAAAACCTTTCCTTTTTATTTAGACAAAAGGGGAAAATGTTGTGAGATATTTCAATTGTATTCTGACACTCCTGAGACAAATAATAAAGTTTACCTTGAATCAAAGGATGGAGTTAGCTACTAGCTGACCAAAATTAGCCATGGAGATTTTAGAGGACCCAGGACATATAGAAAGACACAGGAAGTAGTAGGGAGGGACTTAGAAAGATTCTTAGTTCTTTTCAGATTGAGGAAGGACAGAGAGAGAGAGAGAGAGAGAGAGAGAGAGAGAGAGAGAGAGAGGAGGTCACTAGTCACTTCTCTGTCACTTCTCTAATCAATCAGGTTTTTTTACTCCAATATCTGACTCCTGAATATTTATTGATAAAGGAATAATTAGATAAATGCTTCAGAAGTCTGTGCATTCAGCCTCACCAGCAATGGGGACACATTGGTCTCCCTTCAGGTCACTATAATAGAGTGGTAGAGAGCCCATCATCAGTACTCTTAGAGCCCTTGAGACAGATGCCACTAACAGCAGTCAGATAGCACCTGAGCCCTATGGACATTAGCTTCTTTCCCAGTAGGCTCCAATTCCCCTGACACACACACACACACACACACACACACACACACACAGAGAGAGAGAGAGAGAGAGAGAGAGAGAGAGAGAGAGAGAGAGAAGGATCCCAGGGATCAATCAATGGTCAGATTGCAGGGGGAAAGGCATTTGATACCATAACTGATAAGGGCCCAGAGACCAGGGATTCTCAGTGTTCTTCAATGTGTAATGTTATTACTTCTAGATAGGGCAATTCATAGTATCTATTAGAATTTCTTTTTTTAAAAAATAGGGGAGGGGATAACAGATGACCAGAAATTCTTCTCCTAAGAACGAATCTTGGCATTCACTTCCTACATGTGTACAAAAGTTGACACTACAGATTTTAATAGCAAGAATCCCAAACAGTCAATCTCTACTAAGAGGAGAGTAGTTGTCTCCACTATGACCAAGCTATGCTGTGGAATGCTGTAAGCCATGAAAAGTAAACCTTTTACACATTGACATTGAACGTTGAAACATATTACCAAGAAGATGCATAGTCTAAACCCACGTCTTACAGAGGATCTGGATTCGATTCCCAGCACCCACATGGTAGCTCACAACTGTCTATAACTCCAGTTCCATGGGATCCAAAATCCTCTTCTGGCCTCGGAGGACATCAGGCACACAGGTTGTACACAGACATGTACACAGGCAGAACACTCACATGCATAAAAGTTAAAAACAAACAAACAAACAAACCTTGAACCTCTATAGTGTGACTACACTACATTACATTCACGCACACACAGGTTAGTCATGTGAATGGTCCACAAGAAACTATCACACAGGTTGTGTCTCAGGAGGAATGCATAGGCAGCAAGTCTCTTTTGTGCTTTTTCTTCCTTCTTCAATTATTTTCACGTGTTATCTACCCACATAAGTAATTTCTTTAAAAATGGGCCCGGAAGTGGGGGGAGGTGCTTTTATCAGAAGCAGTGGTCTTCTGTGGTGATGTGGCCCCTCCACCCACCTGATTTCCCTCCGTTTTAACTTTGTGTGTCTCCAGAGAGGAACTCGTCCAGCTGGTTTCCAGCAGAATTTATTTCTGATCTGGATAGTGGTTAAGGGAGAGGTTTTGCTGTGGTGTTTGCAAGCTGGTGAGAGGAAATCAGACTTAGGGTGGAGAGCAGAGGAAGGGAGATTGAGCCATTGGGTGGAGAACTAGGGCCATTGCCCACATACCATTGACTAGAATGAGTCTGGCTGAGAACCATCACTTTTGAAGACATCTGCCTCGCTGTGGGTACATATACAGCTGACCAAGTGTATCTATGGGTTCCATGACCCTAGAGTCAACTGACCAAGGACTAAAAATATTTGGGAAAAGATTGTACCTGTATTGGATATGCACAAACATTTTATTCCTTAATAAATCGTTCCCTAAAAACCAGTACAATATCAATTTATGTAGCCTTTGCATTGCTTAAGTGTTAAAAGTAATCAAATGATATGTCAAAACATCTAGAAGGACACAATTCATTTGAAGATACTAGAGCATATTTGTGAGGCACTTCAGCACCTAGAGATTTGGGGATCTTGGGGGCTCCTGGAATCAACTCTCTGAGGGTATCAAGGCTGCACTTCACTTGGCTCTCTGCTCAGCAGACATTTTTGATAGAGGCAGCGCTGGAAATGGAACCCAAGCCTTTGTGCTCTAGATCAGCTCCCAGCCACATCCCAACCACATCCCCCAGCCAAGCAAACGCCGTGTTATTAAAAGCAGCAGCTACCATATATTATGACAAATGAAATAATTCCACCAGGTCACATTTCCTGGGCCTGCCACTCTCAAGCACCAGCGTGACAATGTCTTGAATTCCATGTAGGGCCAAGCACAGCCAAGTCCATTTAAAAAGAAATAGTCTTTAACTCCCCCAATGCAAAAGTGGTGTGCAACGGAAAGTATCTCTGCGTGTTTGGTGAAATACTTCTGGTAAAAATGGCCCCAACAGTTATGTGTGCATGCGTGCGTGCATGCGTGTGTGTGTGTGTGTGTGTGTGTGTGTGTGTGTGTGTGTGTATGGTGGGGGAGGGCGCTATTGTACCCATCCTTTTGTCTTTATCCAATGCTAAGCCCCCTCTGCCTTTAACGATCTTCATCCCATATATGCTTTGGACACGTGTCCCTATTACTTCTGGTCACATGAGTAGAGGGAGCGTTTGTGTATCACTGTGATCTTATTGATTAGAAGTATGTGAACATGGTATAACCCCTTCAAAGCGCAACATGCATTTTTTCTCAATGGACAGCCATAAAACCCCCTTCAGGAAGGGGTCCTTGATGTCTTTCTGGACTTTAAGGGGAGTGAGGATGTTGGGGTTCACTCATATTCTGCTCCAGTCTATACCCAAGACGGCAAAAGTCCAGGCTGGGAGAAGCTTGGTGACTGCCTGAAGTAAGTCCAGCAGCTGTAGGGTAGGACTGGGCAGCAATTGGAATGCTAGTTCAGGTCTGGCCTGCCAAATGAGCTTCCCCTGCAAGTTTCTATGCATTACCTGCAAAGCCAGCTTTCTCTGCATTATCTGCTCAGCCAGTTTTCTAGGCATTTCCTGCAGAGCCAGCATTCTATGCATTACCTGTAGAGCCAGCTTTCTATGCATTATCTGCTCAGCCAGCTTTCTATGCCTCATTGCAGAGTCTAAAAAGATGGTTCTGCCCATAGCTACAACTGAATGCAGGGAAAGAGCGGGAGATTGTGGTCACCTTGTGTCTCCACCTGCAAAGGGAGGCTAAAGCTCAAATGCTCGACCAGAACACTGCAAGACAGTGCTTATGAGCACACTACAGGATCCCAGATGATCTGTATGTGCTCAATACAGGGCACTGCTTATCTGCAGTAAGAGCCTAACAGAGCTTAGGCTCCGTACACCTTCATCTGAAAGAAGACCACCTCTAGGTAGCTTTTCTTTGCCCTTGCTCTCCCACCACATGGTGGTGCCTTCTCCTCCTCATCAGCCCTCTTCCTCCCACCATAAGAAATGCCTTTTAGAGGTTACAGCAGCTGATCTACTGAGGGAGGAGGCGGCTCAGGGGGCTTAAAGGAAAACCGTGTGAATGAAATCACCACCCAGCAGGAGTCTTCCTGGCTCCGGGGATCAGTTGGCAATTGTTTTTTTAGACTGTGATAACTGCTGTTGCCAAGGGATTGGGGAGGGGTGTTCAGCAGCATCTGGTCCCCAGCCACACACAAAGCATCAGGTGCCCTAGCTGGGGCACTGCTGTCCAACCAGCTGCCCGTTCCAGCTCTGGGGTCTAGGGAGAATCTCCCAGCAAGAGCAGGGTACTGGATATGGAGACAGGATGGTCTTCTCTCAAAGAAGTCCTCTTTCTCCCAGGCAACTGCAGTTCACTGGGCGCTCCAGCCGCCTCTAGAATCTGATGAATCTGGGTGCCTCCCACCAGAGACATTTGCTACTGTGAGAGGGTCTACCCTCGGGGAGCATTTTTTCTGGTAGCCAGCATTTATGTTCCCAACCCTTAGCTTCTCTTAAAACCAGAGATTTCAAGCAGAAAGTGGGTGTGTTTACTCTATGTTTGTGACTCTCTCCCATGTCATAACTGAATTCTTTTCTAATTGAGAAAAAAAATGTGTTGAGTATGGTGGCAGAAGTAAGGATTTCTCTAATTTGGGCTTCTGGCAGATTTGTCTGCTCAAATGCCCATGTGGAGTCGTAGACCCAGCTATCTGGATCTCCTAGCCAGTGGGATCCTGGGTGCCATGGGGGCTGGTGAGGAGAAACTTAGAAGGGTGCCTGTTCTACCAAAGCCTTGGGTGATCACAAACTGCTTCCTGCCCTGGCACTTTCCCAGAGAGTGGTACCTTGGCATCCAAGAACGAACCTGTCTTCTCCTCCTGCTGCCCTCGGGCCTGGCTTCACACTAGGCAGATCTGACGAGCTTCCTTGTTCTCCATATGCCACAGAACCTGGCAGCACCCACAACTACCTGCTCTGCTAAAAAACACCTCAGGACCTAAAACAAAACAAAAACCCAAACCCTGACCCATAAAGATTGACGGTCTTTATCCCGTCTCTGAAGCCTCTGAGTCTCTGAAGCAGGTCCCAGAGATCCATGCATAGAACAGGTTCTCCAGATGCTGAGTGCACATCGGTGTCCTCAGAACCGTGCTGAAGAGGTACTGACTTTAGCCCACACCATAAACCAACTTTGAGACACTTGCTCAAAAGGTTTGGAAGCAGAGATGCTTTGCCTAACTCCCTTTTCAGACTTTCCTTGCTGGGACAATCCCCTAGGAACCTAGCACTTGTCCCAGGTCTGCTGTCCTCTTTCTAACTTCATTCTGTCCCCCAAGGGCTGCAAAGAGCAGGCCATATACTCTCCTAAGGAACCCCTCTAGTGGATCTGAGGTATCCATCTCTTTAGCCACTGGTCTCCCCTCCCTTTCTTTCTCCTCATCTTTTTTGGATTGAACCCAGGGCCTAGAACATACTAGGTAAGGACTCTACCATGTAGTTAGACCCAACTTCTTTATTTCTGTCAAAAGACCTCTTGATTTTATCAACTTCATAGAAGGTTTCTCTAACACATTTTGGAATAGGCCAAGTTGCAGGCTGAGAGCCCCGGAAGTGAGCAGGTCAGAGAAAGCAGAGGTCTTAGTAAACACATTTCATGTTTGCCTTTATACCAGAGGGCCAGAATTTATCCCTCAGCATGTGCACTCCCTAGTAATCTCTGGTGCAGAGGGAGGGGTGGGGCCCAGTGCCTGTTGGAAAGGTATGACAGAAAGGATACTTTTATAGACCATGGGATCAGAGACTAGAGGACATAAAACCTAGATTAAAGTCTCTCAAGATGCTAATGTAGATGAGAGATAGTTTCCTTCTGCAGACTCTTGCAGCCCTCCAGTGGAGTGTCTCCTGAGGGGTGTGTCATGTGGGCAGCACACGCAGGCTGGCCCAGACGCCTGCCCTTCTGAGCCTCTCCAGTTCAGCTACTCAGACCTGACCAGGAGCCTGGATAACAACTTTATGTCAGAATACACATTCTTCCACACCCAAGGGCTCTCTGAACTATGGCTTCTTTAGAAGCAAAGGTCCTGGCAGGTAGGGTCGGGAGAATCACAGGCCATGCAGATGCTTCTCTGTGAAACAGAGGAAGCATGGACTTTAAGGTTCCTTGCTAGCAAGGACTCCCTTCACAACCCTTTCTTCTTCCTTCCATAAAAGATGCAGCTTTCTGTGCTGTGTGTGCTGTTGTCAAGGGTGTGAGCATCAGACCTCCTGCAGCCCGGAGCTGCCCCTCTCCCAGGGAACTCACCGTTGTGTACAATCTTCCTTTACTGTTCATGGCAATGAAGAGGGTGCTTTTCACACCGAAGAGGCTCACTACACCCCGCTCTACCGTGGAAATTTCCAGCAGGCCTGACAAAGAAACAGAGGACACACACTCATGTTCATGTAAACTTGAGAGAGGATTCAAGTCCTTCAGAGGCATCCAGTTGTCCCCCTTCTTCTAGAGGTTCAGCCTCTCCATCACTTCTGTCCTTGATCCCTTATAACATCCTGTCACTACACTAGCTACATCTTGTCACAGCCTGTAGCACACTCGGGTCTGCATGGCAAAGCTTTATACTGGAACTGGGGATCACATGGAGCATTCAGACATCTATTTAAGATTAACTTTGAATCTGGGCTTTCAGTGACTCTGTTATTTGAGGTCATTGACTTGGGAGAAAAAAAATGGGGGCTGGAGAGATGGCACAAAATGGTAGAGTACTTGCAATGGTATGCCTGGGTCCCTGAGTTCAATCCTCAGCAACACACACACACACACACACACACACACACACACACACACACACACATCAATCAATCAATCAATCAATCGTTTTTGATTATCACTGTTTAATGCCTGCTCCACATGCTTCAACTCAGTTCTCCAACACTGCAGCTGCACAGAGCCGGATGGCTTGCCTGGGACCCTACAGCCCGAACCCTGCCTTGACTGGAAGGCTGTCCCTGAAGGCACCTGACAGTAGAGCAAACACAGTGAAAAGGATGTGCTTAAGAGTTGCACTTGGCAGACCACTTGCCCTTCCCTTTAGAAGAGGACGGGTGGTTAGACGCGTGTAGGTCTAACTAGGCTGGAATACCATAACTTTTATCTCTTACCAGTACAGTCATGGCTTTTCAGGCTGACTCCAGGGCCAGAGATAGGCCACTAATACTGGAGTAATTAGTACCACCAGGATGGGGTTACCTGGCATGATGTCTAAGAACACCAAGGTGCCTAGTCCTGCATTTACTGGGTCTGCACCCTTATCTGGGCAGGGCAGGGTAGGATCCAGCCATCTAAATGTTGCCCGGCTCGTTCCCTTCAGACTGCAGCCCCACCCACCAGCGCAAGGCTCCTTCATCTTTTGACTTAGCTTGTGCCCAAGCCAGCAAGCACCCCAGTCGTCTGCTCGTGACACTCACTGTAGGGGTTCTCCTCGTGTGTTCCACTGATCCGGCCGTCGGGGGGCACCTGGAGGTGGAAGCCAATGCCCACGTTGCAGTAGAGTCTCCGCTGCCGCTTGATGCCCACCAAATAGCCGCTTTCCCAATTCACACCCGAAATTTCTCCAGTTAGCCCAGCTCGAGACCTGGACAAGAGGGTGCCCCAGCCTCTGGAGTCCAGTAGCGTGCCGTTGGCGCGGGTGCCGGCGGGCGAGGGCACCACCATGCCCACTAGGACGCCTAAGAAGACGAGAGCCTGCAGCGTGCCCTGAACACGTCCTACTCCCCGGAACATAGTGATGAACAGCCTCTGTCCCAGGGCCATCCACCTTGCCTCTCAGGCACGTGGTCAGAATTAATGGCCCTAAAAATACCGCCCTTCTTGTTTTTCTCCCCTCGGCATGGCGGCAGGGGCTTATTTTTGGAAGGCAGATGAAGGCTGCTGACATGAAACCAAAGCCTGCTTCAGGCACTCGGGTTGAGAGGCGAGGGACCCAGATTGAGCTGCGGCTAGTAGGGACCATGGCTTGGGGACGCTCTCTATCCAGCTTGCGGGGCTCCGTCCCAAGGTGATCCTATTTGATTTGACCTATCATTATAGTTCAACAACCCCGCCCTCCCCTCCACCCTTCATCACCCTGACGTCAGCCGGGCCAGCTCACTTACCCAGGGCTGTAACATTAACCTGCTCCTGGGCCTGGCTGCCTCCCCAGACCCCCATCACCCTCTCCACTCCCCAGGGATTCTGAGAGCCACTGTCATTCCAACTATGAGGCAGGAATGAAGTTTAGCAGGGAGCATCTCTGCGGGAGGGTGGAGTTGGCTGGGGGCCCAGGGAAGAGGGAGGCAGAGGCCACCCAGGACCCAAATTGGGCAGCAGTCCTTGGCCCCACCATGCTGACTTCCTTATTTAGAGGGCAAAGGGTAAAGAAAGATAGGGAAGGCGTGGTAGCAGGTGATGATGCTGGCCTCCAAGTGACACTCAAGACCTATTCATGGAAAGAGCTCACGGCTGAGGAGAGCCCATCTACCGGAATGGTATATATTCTGTACTGGTCATAAAGGGGTTGTGCAGCAAAAATGAGGGCTGTGGAGGCAGGGAGAGATGGGCCACCTTTTCCTGCCCACAGTTCTGGCCATGGCTTTTGCCCGGAGCTGAAAGAGGTATCATGCCATTCTCTTGCTTCAGCTCCCCTTTGGCCTCTAATTGTTACCCTTCCCCCTTGACTGTTGCACAAGTAGAGACTTGGAGAACTTCTGAGGCTTCCCACAGGCAGTAAGTGGCAGGATCGGGGCTTACAGACTCTGTGCAGGTCCAAAGCCTTTCCATGGCATTGATTATAAGTAGAAGCCAGATTTGCTGTAGATTTTCCTTAGGATCCACCAAGTAGACATTGAATGATTATTTCAGTAGGACAAAATGTTTTGGGGTGTGTGTGTATGTGTGTGTGTTTTAGACAAAGTCTCTTCTATCCCAAGAGGGTCTCAAATACAATGTATTGTCATTTAAAAAAAATACTTACCAAATGTCTCAGAAAATTCCTATATTTTCAGCCAACTTAAAATGATTAAAATTTTTTAAATTATATGTATGTGCATGTGCTGTGTCTGTGAGTATGTGCATGTGTGTGAGGGAGCCTACGGAGGCCAGAAGAGTGCTGGATCTCCTAGAGCTGAGGTTATAGGTGATGTGGGCTACGCAACTTGAGCGCTGGGAACCAAACGCGTTCTCGCCAAGAGCAGTAGGTGCTTCTAACGGCTGAGCCATCTCTCCATCCCCGGCAGTTAACTTCTACTAGGCTAATATTACAGTTAAAAACTATCTTCTCATATATCATCTAAGTAGAAGGTGTTTTTTACCTGAGATTAAAATTATTTTAAAAGGATATAGAAAGAATCCTGCCCTGGTGAGATAGCTCAGTAATAAGCGGAGATCGTGACCAACCCTCATGGCCTGGGTCTGATTCCTGGGTTCCACATGGTAGCAGGAGAGGATTGTTACAAGTTGTCCTCTTACCTACACATGTGCGCCATGGCACACGTGGGAGTGCACACCACACACACACACACACACACACACACACACACACACACACACCACTATGCTAAAGAAATGCAATGAAAAGGGACACTCCCAAATGGTTATAAATATATAAGAAGGACTCGCATCTATGAAAGTGTAACAAGACAACAAAGGCCACGTGAGGAGACAACTTGAGTTTGACATTTAGCTTCATTGCCCTACAATCCAGTTGTTAATCTGTTGGTGGAATGCCAGTACAGGAACTGCAAGGGGTGTATCCTGGGGAGGGAAAAGGGTGACAATTGTACTAAAGATAGTTTGAACAGGTCATGGTAGGTGGCAGCTGATCCCAGATCCTGTCCCGTGCAGGTAAGACCTGGATACCACCACATCGGTGTGCCGCACTCTCCCTGAAGGCTGCTGGAAGTCTGGACAAATGCCTCCGCAAGTTCCATGGCTTAGAGATGCCAGTGAACCTCCCCGGTGGTTCTGAGTCTCCTGCTCGGGCCTAGGGCTTAACCTTCAGTCCACGGCTTCTGCATTTTTTCTGTCCCTTTTTCCTTCGGTTGACCTATGCTTTGGTGATCATCTCTTTTAATTCTGCCCTTGTCATGCATTCTTAGGTCCCTTGAAGCTATGTGGCCATAGATGGAGTCGACTACATAGGCCTTCACAGAAAAATAAAGTAGGGCTTTTGGAAGCATCCTACAGAATAGGAGCAACCCTGAGTAACCCAGAGGTGGAAGAATTTCACTCTGGACTCCCAGCTTGATTTCAGATTAAGCTTTGACATGCGCAAGAGTGGAGGCATGCTGTGACTGATGTTCAGCTTGGAGTCTTATGTTAACCCACTCCTCCCACCTTGAGAACCAGCATCCCTGTCACCTGCTGGATGGCTTGAGCCATCCAGCTCAACTTTGCTATGATTTGCACATAGAAGGGTCTCTAAAGGTCCCTGTGTTGAAGACCTGGTCCCCAGTCTGTGGTGCCGTCAGAAGATGGAGGAGTCTATAAGAGATAAGGCCTAAGAGAAGGAAGTTAGGCTATTGGAGGTGTGTTAGGTCAACTGAGGTGTGTTTGGTCATTGGAGCTATGTGGACAGATCTCTTCCCCCTCCTCTCCCCTCCCCTCCCCTACCTGCTTCCCAGATGCCATGATACAACAGAACTTCTTCACTATGTGCTCTCTCCACATGAAGCACCACGGGCTGAAACCACAGAGACCATGAGTCAAAAGCCTTCCTTCCGCCTTTAAGGTGGTCAGCTCAGGCATGCGTTAGAGTAACAGAAAGCAGAGAAATTGGTTTGGAATTAGTTTCCCATAATTAGTGAGGGCAAATCAGAATCCTGGAGTATTCCTTGGAACACATCCACTTTCAAAATGAAACTGAAGTTCATTATGGCCCACACGCTGTCTCCCAAATAACATGGGTGCCTGGCCTTCCTTGGGTCTATCTCATTTCCCAGTCTTTTTTATGCAAATGTCACAGTTGAAAAGCCATTTTATAAAGCAAGGGGCTTCATTAGAGGGACCCCTGAATTTGAATTCTAATGGTATGCTTTATTGGCTGTCTGATCTTGGGGGAAGTTTTGTACCTCTCTGAACCTCATCTCATCTGAAAGGTGAAATAATCACCTTATATGGCTTTTATAGTAAGTAGGCATGGCACCTGCCAAAGGGCATTGCTGAACGGCGTGGCTCTCAGCAGACCATTCTCTGAAACACATAGGAAATCTCTCACCAATCAAGGGCAGACTCAAAGTGCGAAGGGCCCTCTCTTGTCTCACGGGTGGATGACACATGGGCATCCAGTGTTTAACTGCTGCCCGCCCTCCACAGCACATGTAGTGATGGCTGCCGACATATGCAGGAGCCGGCAGTTCAGATTCCTAAAATATTCTGAAAACCAGTAATAGCTTCGGTGTTGTCCCCTGTTAAATATAAAACTTAAGTAACTCCTTCTATTAAAAAGCCCTAGTCTTATTTTTATCGGGTGATGTGATGAGGCCCCGCTCTAAATGCACCTCCTGTGCCCGTCTCTATAGCAACTCCACTCTGCTCAGAGAGCCACATAATTTCCCTTAAGGCTAATTAACCTGACAACTGCTGGGGCGGCTTGGTTTACCAGATTTGCACTTGACCCTTCACTCGGGGCTTAGGGACCCTTTGGATACGAAGTGATAAAGAAAAGAGTAACAGGTGGAGGAGGCCTCCCCGGACCCCTCTTCCACATAGCTGCTCTCGTAGCCTTTGGGGGCTGTCAATCACTCTTGCTTGATGAGCCAAGACTCAGTGGAAGTGAATGGGAAAACGTCCACGTGTATCTTCTTCCACGAGCTGGGGCAGCATGAACGAGGGATGACTTGGATGAAGGGCTGGACTACACCAACCTGACGTATCAGCTGCTCAGGGGAGCTACCCCTGCGCAGCGTGCTGGCTGCCCTCAAGGCTCTGGTTTATTACATAATAGGGTTCAATGGCCCCGCACACCGGAAGTGGCCCACAGGAGAAAGCCCAAACTGGCCCTAAGAGCCACGCATGTGAACTGTCTTCTTTTACTCGGCTTATTTTACTTTTCATAGTTGGCTCCGAAAAGGCAGCATTACCCTTTCAAATGACTGCTTAGAAGGTTCGGAAAACTGGCAGGTAGAAAACAAACGGGCAGTTTGGGCTTACTGCATCCATACCGTCTGTCTCCCCTCTGCATTTGCGCTGCTTTGGCTCAGAGCCTTGCTGCCTCCCCTTTGCTCCTCCCCTTCCGCTTGCTCAGAAAGGCACAGGGCACCTGCCCCAGGCTGCTCATGGGCATCCGCAGCACAGGAGGTGACGACTGAGGAGGGGCCCCTATTTTAAACCTGAATAAAGATGAGCACTTAGGGTTTATGAAACTTGTGACAAGAGACGGGTCTGTTGTCCTGTGGCCGTTCTATGGAGGAACCTAGGCTTTTCAGTTTGCTAGCACAGTAACTACCAGCCTCAGGCCTCCCCTGTGGAAGTGAAAGCCAGTTCATAGCCTAGACGCTGTTACCAGTTTGTGTGAAGCTTCATTCATGGCAGATCACTCCCAAGGGATTTCTGGAGGTGCCAGGCATGCCTCACGTGTGTACCTGAGCACGTGACTGCGCTTGTTTAGGGCCGTTTTGGGGCATCTGTGTGAACCCCACACCCAGGATCTGACTCCAGGTCTTCCCTTACAGCCCTCATGGCACTGTGGCTGCCTCGTGTCTCTCTTCTAGGAAACCGCAAACAAACCCGCCTTTCGGTTTGACTTTCTGACTTCCTGTTCAGCAGAGAGCTAAGTCTCTTGATGGGTCCAACTCCTTGGGGTGGCCTCCCTCTCAGTTTA